CATTATATACATTTAGCAAATTTTGAACACAGAAAAAGTTACATAGTGCTGCTTTAATCGTGTCACAGCTTGGTACCATATTCCTGTACCATAGTATTTAGATGGAACTATAAAGCAGTGTTTCTCAACCAGGGGTCCGTGGACCCCTAGTGGTCCTTGACGTAAGGCCAGGGAGTCCGTATAAAATATGAATTTTTGTATAAATTTTGTATATTTTGACATGACAAAACAAGAAAAATCCAATATAGCTGATGATATGGCCAAATACTGGACAAGTCAGCTAACTGGAATTATACTTGACTGCATTTGGTCCTCACAAAGACACAAATGATACATAGATGAGTCAATTTTGTTCTGGGGGTCCTTGAGGATAGTTCTGAATTGGACCGGGGTCCGGTACGCCAAAAGGTTGAGATGGGCTAGAGTACTGTCAATCTGACGATGCCTGTATGGCATTGGATCAGAGCGCTGTCAATTGCTGCCGGATTGTTGCATGCAAAGTTTGCATTTGGAGTGCTCAACAACACCATTAGATCTATGGGTGCTGTCAGTGCTTTGGCAAAGTAACGTGTTTTTTTTTAGCCTTGCAATAAAGCTAAGTTCAAAGACCAATTTAAAATATTGGTACAGTAAAAAAAGTGCACAAAATGAGTATTTTGTTAAGGCAGTATTTGTGGCAGTCGAGAAACCATGCTGCAAAATTGGTCCAAAAGATGTGCTTTTTTTGCGGCAATGCATTGTTAAAGGTATCAGTGTGCTGTGTGTAATATTCACATATAAAAATGTAACAGCCAATTAAAAAAATATTGGTATTGTAAAATTCGCTAAATCACAAGATCAATACTTCCTATATTAAACCGCTTTGTTGAATTTAGCGCATCCTTACGGAAATGTTGAAATGCTGAATTAATTAATTCACTACTAACAGCACTTAATGAAAGCAGCGTCATACACATAGAGAGCAGAGCGTCACGTCATTTAAACTGGAAGTTCACGCGTCACACCAATTTGGATTTCGCCTAGGGAGTCAAAATGGCTAGAAACGCCCCTGTGCCGGGGTCTCAGCCCCGGACGGCCCCGGCCCAATTTAAACCCTGACTACGCTGATCCCACTATATTTATTTGATTCACTAAAAAGAACCGATTCAAATGCGTAATTTGCTCAGGAATCAAATTACTTTACACACACCGTATGCTTTCGATTTACTAAAAAGAACAGACTCTATCCAACTCACTGATCTATATAATGACTTCTCTATTATAGATCAGCGATCCAACTACATTTGTTGCGCTGCATGTTTTTGATTTACTACAAATAACTGTCTCATAAGAGCCATTCATTCAGGAATCGGACTACCGGTTACTCTCTATTTTATTCTAGGCTTTTCAGCAAAATGTAAACCATTAAACAATTATACAGCAAAAAGGTAGAGTAACATAAGAACAAATATCAGAGTATTGTTTTGGCTTGCTTTAAGAGATACTGTAATGAACAATTGTTCAAGATTACAACATATAAAACACCAGTTTTGAACTAGGTGTTTAAAACCAACGTACAAAACACACTTGTGCCATTGGACTTGTAACTCGAAACCTTATGGTTACTGAGATATAACCCTTGTGAAAACTTTCGTGACAGCCCTGGTCTCACCTGTTTGAATGGGTGGGGAATTTTAGATTAAACCACATCCAACTGCAACCCTGCCAGTTTGTTGACTTCTTTTGCTTTGTGTTTCAGCATGCTATTTCAAATATTCAAATAGCTTCAAATATTGTTTTACATTAGACTGGGTCTGTGCAGATGCAAGAAAATTTATTTCCGCTTATGGGCTTGATGTGTCGCCTGTATGACACCTATTTCTTAACCCACCATTATTATCTTGTCAATATCTTACCTTTCAGCTGGCTATAGTAAGTTATATGTCTTTCATTGGTCTTATGATATAGTATTTAGTGATTATATCTGTGTTTTGAGTAAGGTTATACTTTTGATCATGATTATGTGCTGTTGCATTCATGTTGGCATAGCGTTTAGCATTTATTTTTTGACTTGGTCTGCTTTTCTGAAGCTTTCTAGTATTTTTGCACTCTGTTCTCTTGACGTGGGGAAACCCGTTTTCCATTGGCTGTCGATTGCAGCCGTCACTAGTGTCAGTAAGTCACAATGAAGCACTTTGTTTGTTCATGTTGATGGAATAATAATTACAAACATTAGATATTATCAGGGGGTTCTTGC